GAGCTTTCATTTGGTTATTCATATCATATATAAAAGTAAGTGTATATAAGGGTGCTTTCCAAAAATGGAAAGAGGTGGGTGGGGTGGCACTGTGTTTAATTTATTACATGAGCAATATCTCAGTAAATTTAAAAGATAAGAGGCTCTTATTTTATATTCTAGCTTGTCAATATCGGTAATTTGAGTTTCTAATCGTACGAAACTAGACTTAGTATTTTGACATCACAAACATTTAATTCAAACCAGTGTTGCATTGAACATACCACGTGACACATAAAAATCAATGTTTAACTGTTTTTTTTAGTATTTACTGTTAAATTAAGAAATTATTAAGGTATAATACTAAAATTTGAATTATAATCTAGTTTGATACCAAACTTATTGATGCAAATTCATGAAATAGTAGTTCAATAATATTTTGAATGCGAGTCAACAAACGAGATAACATGGCCTTTCACCCAAGACCAGTCTGGAAAGGGTTAATATGTCCATTCTGGACCGTACCTACCCATGGACTTCATAGATAAAGCGGAAGGGGATAGCTGCCCATTCTTGCCATGCCTTCAATTGAATAAATCAGATATGGTTTGCTTTTCAATATAGGGTTTTTCGTGGTCACCCATTGCACTGTCTCTAGTGTTGGCATTCCTCCAGGCTCTCCACTGCATTTTCTCCCCATTTTTCTTCCAGTGGAGTATAGGAGTCCTTACCACTTTCCAGTTCCAAGCCATTGGGGTGGTGGACCATGGAGGCATCCTCCTGAATGTGATAATGATATATAATACAAATAAAGTTATTCAGTTGAGAGTAAGGTGGTGATGCTCTGCTGGTGTAAATGATGAGATGTCCTCCAATCTGACGCTCCATCTTTTTGGGTTTATCTGAGGGGATGTTGTAGCTTTCAAGTTAGCCATCATAATTGCAGTTTACCTCCTCAATTGGGATCCATCATTCTGCCCCCACATGGATGTCAGTTTCCAGTGGCTGGGTTTTGGATTCAGAACCAATCAGCATAAGTCCTCACACATGTATTATAGGTATATCTGTTCCTCCATCAATTAAAAATTACACTCTTGTTCCCTCCACTCATGTTGTGGGTCATGGTGGGCGAACTTGCAGACTAATACAGTTCTTCCTCTTATGCTATCCCTTGCCGATTTTCATATACTGAGGATGTTATTGCTCTGGGGGCAGTTCCTGTTGGATGGTTTTTGAATGGGTTAGTTTCCATTAGAGACATCTTTATTATGCTGATCGTTCGGATGTCAAGTTCCTAGATTGGTCAAACAACTTACCACATTGCTATCATGTATCCGTTTGGGGTGTACAAGATTCCTTCTGTTCTGCTGAACTTGGGGTGAAGATGGTATGATCCTCTTTCCTACCCCCACCAGATGGCTAGATTTTTGGATTGTAGTTGACTTTCCGGCAGTATGATCCTCTTTCCTATCCTCATATGGATGTAGGTTCCTGGTGCCTGGGTTTTGTATTATAGTTGTCTTTCCCCCCACATGGATGTCGGTTCCTGGCGGCTGGGTTTTGGATGCAGTTGGCTGGCTGTGTATGGTCTGTTGCACCCTAGCCACTCTACTTCTAGGGGGACAACCTTTTACTCTCAACCACATTAGTGTACTCTATAGGATTGAGATTCTGATATATTGTGGTTCAGATCCTATCCAACCATTGTTCTTTCCCATTTGGATGTGCTCCTCCCATTTTCAACCCATGTCTATGACATCTCTTTCCATACTGGCCCGAAGAATATACCTGATACAGAAGTAGTGCAGTCTCCCATGTATGATTCTCTAATGCAAGGATCTATTCTTTTAGAGTGTTCTTCAGATGCTTTTGAGGAATGCTTCTTTGTTTTCCTCTCAAATCCGTCCCTATTCATTTGATTGGAGGTAGTGTACCATATCAGAAGTTATATATTTCTGATAGGTACTCACCTCCTCCCCACTGAAAACTGGTGCTTCTATTTCCTGCCAAAACTTCAAGTGATAATTCGTTAGGAGAGTGTGTCGCACTTCTATTGGTGGAGGGTTATCACATGATGATTTACTTGTTGAATCATTTGGTGGTAAGGTACGTGGGAGCTCAAGACTTGTAGCATGCGAAAAAAATTTTTGCATATAGAGGACAGCACTGAACAGTAATAGCTGTTTATTTGAGAGGAGGTAAGTACCTATCAGAAATAGATTTTCAATTAGTGCAAAGAAATTCAAAACATTATCTTGTTCTTTCTCCATTTCAATATTTTCAATAGTTTTGGGGTTAAAAAACTAGTTGAAATAAAATATTCATTATCCATATTATCAAGACAGGTGACAAAAAGGTTGTTTGTCTGAAAAGGTTCTGATATTTTACTAAGAGTATGCTTTGTAACTGGGCCATGGTAACTGTTCACAAGAGGTATGGATTCAGATTTCTTGAGTAAAAAGTTTACACAAGATAAAAACAAGTGCTTAATGCTGGATGTTGTTGTGAAATATTGCATCTATCCTTTTTGTTGTGTTTTGAAGAGTTTAACTGTGTTATTTCAGAATAAGTTGAGTTTGTTTGAAGTTGTTTTAGAAATGAGACAACAAGACAGACAGTTATGTCTATTTGAAGTATATTATTATGTTGTTATATTTCAAATACATTAATGACTGTGTAATTTGATTATACATGTGTAACTACTTTATTTTAGTAATTAGTTTATAAATTGTTTTGCAGATAAATTAAAGAAAAATATTTCCAAATTAAATAATCGACTGTTTATTTTCACTCCAGTAGCCTAGGAGGAGTTATGGGACAGAGGGATAGCTAGTTTTACCCTGGATCAATATACAATTTTGTCACTACCCCTACTCGCTTCACTTGCAGGGGTGATAAAATTGAATGTACAATGTTACAATGCAAATGCAGCTAAACATT